TTCTCTTTCAACTTTTCCTCCTTCTCCTTCTCTTTCTCCTCCTCAACCATTCTTTTCACTTTCAAAATTTCCTCTTCCTCCTCCTGAGCCTTTCCTTTCAATTTCAATTTTCTTCTTCCTCCTTCAGTTTTGCTCGTCCCCCTCCTCCCATTTACTAGTACTACCACTTCTATTAATACTCGTAGTAGCGGTAGTAGTGGTAGTAGTTGCAATAGAAATCGGAGGAGGAGTAGTGGTCCCAGGTAAATTCATCATCATGAAAACATCTGTTTTAATTTTGAGGATGGTTAATTTTTGTCGTTGATGTTGTTGTAGATGCTGCTGCTGCTGCTTTCTTTCTTTCTTTTTGAAGGAGGAGGAGGTTGATTTAAGCAATCCTGTTGAGTTGCGGTATTCTCTCAAAGTGAGAGTGAACTCTTTTAATAGACATTCTTTGTTATGTATATTTCCTTTATCATTATTTATCATTTATAATAATGCTTATTACTTATGAAGACTTTCTCCTTTGCCATCCTGATGAGGTATCAGTTCGCTGAGGATGATGATGATGATGGTGCTTTCGTTGTAGGTTGTACACATTATGAGGACTCTCCTATTCAAGATAAGTTCTCGTGGAATCTCTGCAATATCATTATCTAATACATAGCGACATCGGGTAATTTGTGTGGTTACAGTGTGATGTAAAAAGTGCTAGGAATGCTATATACGTGTTTGATCCCAATTTGCAATGGTTGATAAGAAAAAGGGAGTATCAACCCGTAGTAACCAGGGAGAGGATCAAACAGATTCTCAGGACGAAACTCAAATGGCCGCTCAGCAGCCAGAAGGAGAATTACAAGCTATGCTGGAGCACTTGATAAACCAATTGGATGAGTTGCGTGCAGAAGTTCGAGAAGTAGGTTTTCGGAATAACCAGCTCACCTCAGAATGTGCAACGCTCCGTGAGGTTGTTAATCGGCACATAGAACGAGATCCAGCCCCGAGCATTTCAGGCACTTGTCAGTCTACGACCGACAATGACTCTGACCACAAAATAGGTCAAGGGATTGTCCATAGCACACACACAGTTGTCCAGCCAAGGCAGAGTCGAATTAATCTGCTGCCCCGCATACTTGATCCTGAGCCACAAACACTACTGATGGTGTCCAAACCTCGAGCACGCATTTCAGTGTTTGAAGCCAAAACACCAGCCTCTAATGCATTACATTAGGAACAATGAAATTGATCACTGGATCTGGCAGATAGAACTGCAGGTTGCCGATAGCAACGCTAGAATCCGAGCAGCAAGGATCCATTGTAAGGGAGATGCAGAAAGAGTAATCAACTCCCCACTGTTTGTTGGCATTTCTGAATGGGTATCATTTGCCCAACGATTACGGCAGAAATTTTGCGGCACAACTACCACCTGAGTTTTTAAGGCAGCTATCCAGTAAGAGAGAGAACATAAAGTCCACATGACTTATTACTTGATATAGAGAGTGCAGTTCTGTCTGGTTGGAAGGACTGCTTGGGTATGGCAGATCGGCCAGAGGAGCTAGTCAAAAGAACATTTATTAAGGCCCTTCCATTTTGGTTGCAAGAAAGCATTGCAGGCCAAGAGCATGGAAACACAGATGAGCTTGCATCCATTGCAACTCGAATTTGGGGCATACGCCAAAGAGCTTGTACAAGGTACAGATTGAAGCACTCGGTACAGTTCCCAAGGCCCCCTAACCCTGAACAGGTAAAGACTGCAGCAGTTGGTGATCAACCATACTGTGCATTCCATCGTCAACAAGGCCATAGCACTCGTGATTGCCAAGAAAAGCCTAAAGGCTATGTTTGCTGGAAATGTGGTCAATCGGGATACAATCGCCAGCAATGTCCCTTTCGAGGAAGTCAGGCCAGGCAAGGAGCCCAAACTGAACCTGACATTGCCCAGAGAATGGGCTCATCAGGAAATTGTACAGGGAACTAGGCAAACAGGTAGGCCCATGGTTCAGTTGTGGGTGACAAGAAACAAGTCTCGATGAAACACCAACTTAAACCTAATAGGAAGCTTTTAGGTGTATAAGGAACTAAATTGGACATAGAGTGTGAGGCGGATGACCGGGTATGTTTATCGGCTGAAAAGTCGTTTGCTCACGGTATGCATTGTTGACGGTATAAAGTTTCCTGGAGATATGCTTATTGGTATGGATATCTTAAGCTGGGCCAATTATACTCTATTTCAGAGAAAGTATCCACCCTGTAATTTTCTTTATATTGATGGGGTCAAATTACCAGTGACTTTTACTGATAGCCCAAGTCTAGGTATAATTGTTTCTAAAAAAGCAAAGACGAACAACATAGACACAGTCGAAATAGTTGTCATGCCAAATACTGTTATGACTCCAATTAAAAGTACTATACCAACATGGGTCGTTAATCCCGGTAACCAGCCACTAAAGATTAAGGGGGAACCATGCTGGCTGAACTGAGTGATGTGCAGTCTTCGGAATATATTATCATGCCTACCTTATCAGATAAAACCATTAAAAACGATGCCTGTATCAATCGAAGTATATCTGACACAGTTTAAGTGTTGATTTTCCTGCTCCTCGTCCTTCAGTTGCTGACTTGCCTGCGTCTGGTCCTTCGGGTGCTGACTTACCTGCTTCTGGTCCTTTGGGTGCTGACATACCTGTGTCTGGTCTTTCTGGTGCTGACATCCCTGCGTCTGGTCCTTTGGTTGCTGACTTACCTGCATCTGGTCCTTCGGGTGCTGACTTACCTGCTTCTGGTCGTTCGGGTGTTGACTTGCCTGTTTCCGGTCCTTCGGGTGGTGACTTGCCTGTTTCCGGTCCTTCGGGTGTTGATTTGCCTGTTTCCGGTCCTTCGGGTGTTGACTTGCCTGTTTCCGGTCCTTCGGGTGGTGACTTGCCTGTTTCCGGTCCTGACTTGCCTGTTTCCGGTCCTTCGGGTGGTGACTTGCCTGTTTCCGGTCCTTCGGGTGTTGATTTGCCTGTTTCCGGTCCTTCGGGTGTTGACTTGCCTGTTTCCGGGCCTTCGGGTGGTGACTTGCCTGTTTCCGGTCCTTCGGGTGTTGACTTGCCTGTTTCCGGTCCTTCGGGTGGTGACTTGCCTGTTTCCGGTCCTTCGGGTGGTGACTTGCCTGTTTCCGGTCCTTCGGTGTTGACTTGCCTGTTTCGGTCCTTCGGTTGATTCGGGTGTTGACTTGCCTGTTTCCGGTCCTTCGGGTGTTGACTTGCCTGTTTTCCCTTCGGGTGTTGACTTGCCTGTTTCCGTCCTTCGGGTGTTGACTTGCCTGTTTCCGGTCCTTCGGGTGTTGACTTGCCTGTTTCCGGTCCTTCGGGGTTGACTTGCCTGTTTCCGGTCCTTCGGGTGTTGACTTGCCTGTTTCCGGTCCTTCGGGTGTTGACTTGCCTGTTTCCGGTCCTTCGGGTGGTGACTTGCCTGTTTCCGGTCCTTCGGGTGTTGACTTGCCTGTTTCCGGTCCTTCGGGTGGTGACTTGCCTGTTCCGTCCTTCGGGTGTTGATTGCCTGTTTCCGGTCCTTCCCTTGCCTTTCCGGTCCTTCGGGTGGTGACTTGCCTGTTTCCGGTCCTTCGGGTGTTGACTTGCCTGTTTCCGTCCTTCGGGTGTTGACTTCCTGTTTCGGTCCTTCGGGTGGTGACTTGCCTGTTTCCGGTCCTTCGGGTGTTGACTTGCCTGTTTCCGGTCCTTCTGAACTTGCCTGTTTCCGGTCCTTCGGTGTTGACTTCGGGTGTTGACTTGCCTGTTTCCGGTCCTTCGGGTGTTGACTTGCCTGTTTCCGGTCGTTCGGGTGTTGACTACTTGCGGTCGTCCGGGTGTTGACTTGCCTACTCCCAGTCCTTCGGGTGTTGACTTGCCTGCTTCTGGTCCTTCGGGTGTTAACTTACCTGCTTCCAGTCCTTTGGGTGCTAACTTGACTGCTTCCTGTCCTTCGGATGTTGACTTACCTGCTTCTGATCCTTTGGGTGTTGAGTTACTTGTGTCCAGTCAGAGTGCCACTTGCCCGTTCTTAATAGTAATATTCTCAGCCACTCTATTAAGCCCTCTGAAGATTTGGATGTTAACCCACAGTTCGACTTTGAAGAGGGTGACTTTGACCTGCAACATGATCAAATGGATTTTGGGTACACTGCAGATGAGTTTGATGTTTTCCCAGAGTTAACTTTTGATCCCTTACCTGCTGGTGACTCTGACACCTCTCTTTGAGGAGAACCATCCCACTTTCTATCTGAAGTTATACCCATGCCTACAGTTGCAACATAAATGAAGGAAGTACAGGTTGGTGCGATTACTTCTCCAACACTCACTAACCTGATAGCTCCTGCTAAAGATGGTCATGAGGAAATTCCATTATTGGATCATCTGGATGAGAGTGAGAAGAGGAACATCCAGAACCTCTTCCAAAAGTTCCCTGGTTTGTTTAGTACAGACACCTTGGATATAGGTACCATTCCCGATGTTACACATTCAATACCAACAGAAAATGCCAAACCAACTGTTAACAGGTAGTGGAGGTTACCGCATACAGCACACATTACAATTCGAGAACAGTGTGATGCCATGGCTACAGCTGGTGTCATTGAGCCTTTAACTAGCCCTTGGCTAGTTGTACTTGTGAGGAAGAAGAATGGCACTGTACGATTCTGTGTAGACTTCCGCACTATTAATGCCCTTACAACAACTGACTCATACCCATTACCACAAATTCAGCAAGTGATTGATGACCTCCACCGAAGCTGTATTTTTTCATCCTTGGATGCCCACTCTGCCTATAGGGCTGTTCTAGTTAAACCCCAAACCAGCCTTCAGTGATGGAGCTCGTGTCTGGCAATTCAAAAGGATGCCATATGGTTTGAAAACAGCTCCTCAAACATTTCAACGGATCATTAATTTTATACTGTCATCTGTGTTAGGTCGCCATACAGCTGCATACCTTGATGTAGTCATCTTTAGCAGAAGTATGGAGGAACATTTGAACCACCTACAGGAAACACTGTCCCTATTACATTGAGCGGGGTACTTTTAAACCCCACCAAATGTGAGATTTGCTCAGGAATTTCAAATTTCTGGGATTTGAGGTGTCGGCAGAGGGAATCCTTCCTGATCCAGACAAAGTACAAGCCATAACAGAGATGACATACCTTAAAGATGTCCGTGGCATTAGGAGGTTTTTTGGCGCTGCAGGCTTTTTCCGACGATACATCGCCAATTTTGCTAAAATGGCAGCTCCGTTAACAGCTCTGACTAGGAAAAATGCAAAGTTTACTTGGACAGGTGAGTGCCAGCAAGCATTTGAGTCTTAAATCAGCTTTGATATCTGTGGGTGGGTGCTTCATGCGCTGGGTGATGTGAAGCGATGGAGTGGTAGTCTAGTTAGTGTTTATAGCTTTTGCATGCCTTCTCGCTTACAGCTGCCACCGCTGGCTAGCCTTGTGCGAAAAAGGGAGCAGCTCTGCATAAGCCTCCCCCTGCCAGTGCATAGCCTCTCCATCATCGAGACTCCCTGCAGTGCTTCCTCATGGCCTCCCATGGAAACTGGGTACAATGCGGTTCCAGGCTAAACTGAGGGGGATCTCAGAGCAGCAGGAGGCCCCAGAGGTTCAGGGTCATGGCCCACCGGCGTGTGGACACGCCCTGGCCCTGTACCAACTTCTGCCCCCAAGCCCCCTTGGGTTAATGGGAGGCTCGGGGGAGGTGGGCCTTGCCAGTCCTCCTCCCCCCAGATATAACCAATCGGCAGTGCCACTAATAAACGGAAAGGCTGGGAGGAGGGGAAAAGTCCCTCCCACCCAGCAAGTGAGGCGGACTGTGGGCCCTGCTGGGAGGGCGACTGCTGGAGCGCAGGCTGGGAACGGGAACTACTCATCTCGCCTGCGCTCTGGTGGCCGCCAGCCCAGAGTGAAGCTTGTGGGGGAAAGCCCTCGGGAACCCCACAGGTGGATGATGGGGCACGCAGCCCGCCACCCCCTTTTATATGGGGCAGCGTTGGTGCGGGTGGCAGAGGTGGCATCCACCTAGAGCGACTGCCAGAGGCTGAACCTCAGGCGAGAATTCAGGATAGGGGCTTGGAACGTCTGTTCTTTGCGTCAGGATGGTCGGTTGCCTCTACTGTCGAGGGAACTGGGGAGGCTGAGAGTTGAGGTGGCTGCTCTCTCGGAGGTGAGGAGGCCTGGCAGCGGCATGACCTGTGTAGGTAGCTACACCTATTACTGGTCGGGCCGCAGCGACGGCCACCATCTCCAGGGAGTAGCCATTGCCACCTCCAGCAGACTCCAGCCCTCGGTAGTAGAGGTTACTCCTGTTGATGAGCGTATAATGGTATTGAGATTGAAGCTATCTTTTGGCTTCATGTCTCTTATTGCTGTGTACGCTCCTACCGATGTTTGTAAACTTGACGTGAAAGAGATGTTCTACGCCAAACTTACATCTGTGGTAGACAGATGTCCCCGGCGAGATATTTGCATTGTTCTGGGTGACTTCAATGCGGTATCTGGCTGTGATCGAGCTGGCTATGAGATGTCTGTCGGTCCCCACGGTTCAGGAACTGATGCCGGTAGCGAGAATAGCCTCCTTTTCCGGGACTTTGCTAGGTCCCAGAAATTGAGGATTTCTGGCTCCTAGACCGGCACCCAGACCCACATCGCTGGACATGGTACAGTGATGTGGGTAATGCAGCCAAGGAGATCGACCACATACTCGTTAGCACTCGGAGGATCCTTCAGAATTGCAGGGTGTACAGGAGTGCTGAGTTCTGTGGTACTGCCCATAGATTGGTTGTGGCTACCCTCTGGGTCCACTTCAAAACTCCCCAGCGGTCAAATGATCACCCTAGAGTGTTTCATTTGGACAGGCTGAAGGAGGGGGAGTGTGCCCGCGGGTTTGCTGAGGCAATCTCTGATCGTTTCGCAATGCTTGACAGTCTGACAGACCCTGCTCTTCTGTGGGATTCCTTTAAGCGTGAAACGCTTGATGCAGCTCAAGATACGATTGGTGTACGCCCGAAAGCAGTACAGAATTCCATCTCGCAGGAGACACTGGAAGCCACAGATGCATGTCGTGCGGCTTGTCTGACAGGGGATCGGGAATTGCACCGTTCTCATGTGCCCAGAACTCGGTCCCTGTTAAGAAGGGACAAGGAACAGTTTATTAGGAGTCTTGCAGAGGAGGTAGAAGGCCATTTCTTAGTAAATGACCTTCGTCCTGCATACCAAGCCCTGAGAAAGCTGAACTCCAAGCCCTCTTCATAGGTGACAGCAGTTTGCTCAGTAAGTGGTCAGATCGTTTCAGATCCTGTTGCGGTGCGGGAACGTTGGGCTGAGTATTTTGAGCAGCTGTACCAGGTTGATCCACCAACAGTTAACTTGGATGCGGGTAGTGTCGAGATCCCGCTGCCGGATCCACCCATCAGTGAGGACCCTCCCTCCCTAACTGAAGTTAGGTGGGCGATTTCCAATCTGAAGAGTGGTAAAGCAGCGGGTATCTGCGGCATACCAGCTGAACTGTTAAAGGCTGGTGGTGAACCTATGGCACGGGGGTTACATGCTGTCCTGGCTGCCATCTGGCGGTCCGGTTCCGTTCCTCTTGACCTGCTGAGGGGTGTGGTCATCCCTCTCTGGAAGGGGAAGGGGGACTGTTGGGACTGCAGCAATCACCGAGGCATTACACTGCTCAGTATACCAGGCAAGGTTCTCGCCCACATCCTTCTGAGACGTATCAGAGACCATCTACTGAGGCACCAGACACTGGAGCAATCCGGATTCACTCCTGGTAAGTCCACAATAGACCGTATCCTCGCGCTTCGAGTCATTGTAGAGCGCCGCCGTGAGTTCGGGCGTGGGCTGCTTGCAGCCTACATCGACCTCAAGAAGGCATTCGACACGGTGCATCGGGAGTCACTTTGGGAGATCCTGAGGCTGAGAGGAATTCCAACAAGGATTATTGGACTAATAGTACATGTTCTTTTATGTATGATTTTATGGTCTTTATGTATTATTTTATTTATGTTCTTTTTATGTTCTTTTATGTACCATTTTGTTTCATGTTCTTTTATCTACCATTTTGTTTTATGTTCTTTTATGTATTCTTTTGGTTCATGTTTCTATGTTCTCTATTGTACTGTTTTATTTCTGCATGGTTTGAGTTCATGTTTTATGTAATGTGTTTTGGCTAATGTTTAAAATTATGTTCTGTATTGTAATTATGTTCTATGCCTATTATGTTTTAGATTGTTTTTTTTGTATTTTGTTTTGTTTTTTGCTCAAGTTTTCCTTGGTTTGCCTTATTTACTATCCTGCAGGTTGGATGCTTTGAATTGATTTGTTTGTCCATTCTACTTCTTTGCTGGAGGAGAGCAGTTTGAGGTGGATGCTTTGTGATGTAGCATTTTCTTTTTTTTTTCCCATACTCGTTTCAGGTTGTCGATCCAGCCGAACAATTCTTAATGACTATGAACAATGCATGCCCCCTTTAATTAATTATAATCTGTTTCTTGTGTCCCTAAACTGCACTCTACTTTTCAGGTTGTTGTCTTGTCTGTCTGCTCTGTCCTGTGGTGTCCTGCCTTGCGTGTTATGTGTAATGGACCTATGTTGACTTGGTCCTCCGCTGCCAAGTGTTTCTCGTATGTACCAAGTTGATCGCGCCAAAACACCTGTAATTTCTTTTAAGGGTGGGCTTCCATTAACATGGGAGGGAACTAGTTGCGCGGAGATTTCCCTTGTAACTTGCTTAAAGTGGCAGCTTCGGACTCCGGTCCGTGGGGGTGGTTGTAGTGACATGTTTTAAGAGAGTTACCCCAAAAATTGGTAGCGTGCCCTAGGTTTCGAGCGTGTCCCCCGCAAGGAGCAAAAAATCGGGGCGACCACGTGTTCTCGTTATATTGTTTTAACGATCCTTTTCTTTTATTTTATTCTTTATGTATAGCACTTTTAATTAAGACTAACCTAGATCTTTCTATTGTTTTTTTTTTGTTTAAGTATTTAACTGGTTTTATGTTGCATTTTATACACCCCGTTTTTTATTGTTTTCGTTTGTTTTATCCCATTAGTAATTGTGTATGTTTTTTTATACTTTTATTTCATTAATTTTCACTTTAAAATTGTAAGGTCCAGCGAACCAAAACATTTGAACGCACTGAAAGATTATATTTTTTTTAGTAATATTGAACCAGACACTCGGCAATCGCCTGCGGCGATTGTCTTTGTTTATATCGGGAGGGGCAGCTAACACCAAGTGTCAGAATTCG